AGGCAACCCCCAACCCCAAGCTCTTCTTCCCCCACAGCCTTCGGCAACTGAAGGCTCCCACCACAGGGAGAACAAAATGAGGAAACAGATGTTTGGCCAAGTGATTTCTCATTATTTTTCCTGCAGCTCCGTTCTTCATTTTTCCTGAAAACTTTTTTGCATGTGCCATCTTGACTCAAGAGAATTGGTCTCATAGTTGTCATAGAATGGATGAACTGAGGCAAAACTATAATTTTAAGACACTGTGAATGATGGAAGGGGGGCTCTTTGGTGGGGGAGGGTGTGTGTGTGCAAACACACTTGCTTTATAGGAGTCAGCCACAGAATGTATTGACATTACTTTATTTAAATAATTTTATCTATTTGTGAATGGAGTACAAACCAGCGTGTAATCAAAAATGGCTCTTATTTCTTCTATGGCCTGACCAGCCAGCTTCCTCAGTGGCAAGTGCCGCTATCTATTTCTCACCTATTCCTTTGGAAATAATAATAATTTCTTTCTGCCTTGCCTTTTCTTTCTCTCTTTCTAAAACCCAGTTCCCTATTGTATACACTATTCCGTACATTACTTTTTTTCACTTAAGAAATTTGGATATTTTCCTTTGTAGTAGATATTATACTTTTTAAAATGATTTATATTTTGTGATATTTGGATATACTATCATTAGTTGGGACATTACCTGCAGATAATTAGGTGATTTCTAATCCTTTACTCTTACAAGCAGTGCTGCAAAATATCCTTGAACATATACCCTTTTGCATTTCTGTAAGTATAGCTGTAGGCTAAGTTCTTAAAATTAGAACTGCTAGGTCTAAGGGGACATATATTTTTAATATTGATAAATATCAAATTCCATTCCATAATCCCATCAGCCTGGATGAGAAGACTGGCTTTCTCAATCCTTGCCAAAACACAATGGAGACACCAAATTCAAATTCTAGCCTAAGAGATTGTTGTTGCTCAGTTGCTCAGTTGTGTCCGACTCTTTGTGACCCCAGGGACTGCAGCATGCCAGGCTTCCCTGTCCTTCACCATCTCCTGGAGTTGACTCAAACTCATGTCCATTGAGTTGGTGATGCCATCCAACCATCTCATCCTCTGTCACCCCCTTCTGCTCTCAATCTTTCCCAGCATCAGGGTCTTTTCTAGTGAGTCAGCTCTTTGCATCAGGTGGCCAAAGTATTGGAGCTTCAGTTTCAGCCCCTGTCCTTCCAGTGAATTTTTAGGGTTGATTCCCTTTAGGATTGGCTGGTTTGATCTTGCTGTCCAAAGAGACTCTTAAGCGTCTTCTCCAGCACCACAGTCGGAAAGCATCAATTCTTTGGCACTCAGCCTTCTTTATGGTCCAACTCTCACATTCATACATGACTACTGGAAAAACCATAGCTTTGACTATAGAGACCTTTGTCATCAAAGTGACATTTGTTTTTTAATATACTGTCTAGGTTTGTCATAGCTCTCCTTCCAAGGAGCAAGCGTTTTTTTAATTTTGTGGCTACAGTCACTGCAGTGATTTTGGAGCCCAAGAAAATCTGCCGCTGTTTCCACTTTTCCCTCATCTATTTGCCATGAAGTAATGGGACCAGATGCCATGATCTTAATTTTTTGAATGTTGAGTTTTAAGCCAACTTTTCATTCTTTCACCTTCATCAAGAGGCTCTTTAGTAACGTTTGTTAGCTTTACAAGGCTTCAACATCTCAAAGCTTTTATAGTTCGCACAAGGGAGGGGTTTTCTTTTTTGGCAGTGAGAGCTGAGGGGTTTACATGGCCAGTAGGGGGCAGCACGTCCCCACGGAGAGTCTGGCTGCATCACCCGCTGATTGAACAAACTCTAGCAGGGGGACTTGGAACCTACTCAACCAAAAATGCTCCTTCACTAGGTTACCTTCACTGCCATCTCCCGGCTGGAGTTCCTGGGTGTGGAACAAAAGCTTAGCTAAAAAACCAGGATAGATCAAAAGTAAATGCATGGAATTTCTATCACATTTCACATCCGTTTTGTTGACAAGTGCTAAAAATGTCAAATAATATCTTCTGTCCCCCTAGAATTAGGATTACCATTTCACCTTAAAAAGCAACTCATGAAAAAATATTAAAACTTAGAGCTATGCATTACAATTTATGGAATCCATCGGTTTCAAGATCATTCCATGAAATACTTTTCTTTATAAAAATGTAAATTGGCCACGTGACTTAAGAAATATTCCAGGATAACCACTGAGATTCACGATTTAGTCTTAGGAGTCTGAACTATTATTGGCCAAATGGAAAAGCAAACAACTACGGAAAACCAGAAGAGAAGAATGAATAGGGAGAAGGAATTGACAGAAAGAAACCGAGAAGAAAGGCTCAAGCAGTATACTTGAGATTCTTGCCATATAGGAAATAGAGCGGCATGGGGGTTTGTAATGAGGACTTCCCTAGGAGTGCAAGCCTCCAGGCCACAGAATGGCCACAGGTACTGCCCCTTACAGGATGTCCAGAGGAACTGCTGGGCAGATCTGAAGGGTCTTGCTTTGAGAATTATGTGGAATCATTAACTGGTGATGAGGTGCCTTACCAGATTTAAGTACTTTTTGGTGCTTGGTATGTCTTTCATGAATCATGCAGCTGCAAAGAAGGTCCCTGGGACCTTTAGGGCAGGAGCATATATTACCCGAGAGCTCCCAGTGTAAGACAGGCTCTGTTCTAACACTTTATAGACAATAACCCTTTAATATTTATTCATTGATTTGGCTGGGCCAGGTTTTGGCTGCGGCACATGGGATTTTTGATCTTCATTCTGGCATGTGGGATTGTTAGTTGTGGCACTCAGGATCTTTTAGTTGTGGCTTGAGAACTCTCAGTTGCGGCATGTGAGATCTAGTTCCCTGACCAGGAATTGAACTTGGGCCCCGTGCACTGGCAGTGTGGAGGCTCAGCCGCTGGACCGTCAGGGAAGTCCCACAATAACCCTTTAATAAATTTAATAATGTCTCCATTATCTCCAATATAAAGATGAAGAAACTGAGGCTTTTTGCCTTAGGTGAAAGTAGCAAACCAGGATTTGGGCCAAGGAGAGCTGGCTCTAGAGTCTTTTCTTTAGCACTCCATTAGTTCATCTCTTGAAATCAGTAACAAGGAGGAGGGAGGAGGAGGAAAGAAAGAATAGGAAAAGAAGATGAAGGACAAAATAATTAATGTATCCTGTGAATACCACCATTTACTTCAACACGCATTCTCTGAAGGACTTACTATAGGACCTCCCTTGGGACTAGGCACTTCTGGGCCACAGCCCATTCATGCCCTGGAAAAGACCAGGTTATTTCTAAACAGTGTGATAACACTGTAAAACAGGAAAGTCCGCTGGTGCAGGACAGAAATCCCTGTGTTCCCAAGTATGTACTAAAGTGGAAAGTTACTGAGTTAAAGTGACTGGCCTATAAAGCACCAGCCCATTCAGTCACAGACGGGCTACTGTGGATTCCATCTCTACTCTGCTTCCATAAAACAAACCTTGTTTAACTAGGCTGTTCTGCAAAAGTAACAGTTAAATACATTTACAGCCATACTGCTTCCTGGTGGCTCAGTCATAAAGAATCTGACTGCCAAGCAGGAGATGTGGTTTCATCCCTGGGCCGGGACGATCCCCTGGAGGTGGAATGGGCAACCCACTCCAGTATTCTTGCCAGAAAATCCCATGGACAGAGGAGCCTGGCGGGCTACAGTCCATGGGGTTGCAAAGAGTCAGGACAGGACTGAGCCACTAAACAATAGCCTTACTATGTTTGGACTCTGCTTCCAAGACCGGAAAACAGGCAAAATTTAAATAAAAAAGATTAAGTAACGCAATTACAAATTAAATTAAAAAACGTCCACCAGTAAAATAGTTTCTACTTTTCACTGTATGCTTGAAAGTTTTCACAGTAGGATGGTTGGAAAATATATTCCACTCAAATCTGCAGAATAAGGACTAATCTCCTACAGGCGCCAGTTCATTAAACTGCCTAATGGCAGCTATGGAAAAGTCATAGCCTTATCCCAAAAGCTTTGCTCTTTAAACAGATAAACGAGCAAGTGCGTTCCAACAGAGGCCAAAAAAAGCCTGTCCCCAGGAATTCCATGGGGCAGCGAATTCTAGAGGGACCGCCAGGGAGGTTCCCGCTCCCTGGGTGGGACCTAGTAGCAAAGCCACGTGGGGAGCGCTGAAGGGGCCTTTAGGGCTGGGGAAGGGGACCGTCCGTCAGGGCAGGTCGCGGTCTCCTCGCCCCTGTCCGCCAGCGGCGGCAGGGAGGAGCGCCGAGAACCAAAACTCGGTTGTCGCCGGTGTCGGGGCAGCTAGTCTGCGCCCGGTGGGCGGCTCCCCACCTCTCGGGAGGATGCGGACGTGGGATGCCCCAGGGAACCCTCCCAGCCCGGCGAGCACGAGGAGCTCCAAAAACAAAGCGAGCGGCGGGGGGAAGGGGAAGGCGCGCCGGGCGAGGGGTAGAGGCGCCGCCTGCGAGCCCCACCGACCAGCTAGGGAAGGGCGCGCGCGTGCGTGCGCCCGGTGCCCCTTGCCAGGTCCGGGAGACCCACAAAGCCCGAAAGGTCCCCTTTCCTATGGGGCGGAGATTTCAGACATCCCAAGTCGGGGTCCGCGCAGCAGCTAGAGCCGGGACTGGAGGCCGCGCGCTGCGCCGGAGGCTCACGACTTTTCTTTTCGGGGGATAAGATGGCAGGTCCGGGGAAACAAAGGAAACTTGGGGCCGGGCCTGGGAGCGGCGTGTGTAGCTCGCGAGTTCGCCCCGGGTCCTGTGTGGGAGTCACTGGGCGGCCTGCGCCAGCCTGCACACTGCCCGCCCGGGGAAAACATAAAGCATCCCTGCGGGAGCCGGCGGCGCCGGCCGCCCACCTGCCGCCCCGGGGTCTCCGGGCCGGCGGAGGGAGAGGGCGCTGGGAAGACAGGCGGGCGGCGCCACGTCACGGCTATTGTGGCTGGCCCGGTATATAAGGTCCCGCCCGCCGGCCGCGCTCCCCACCTTGCCTGCACCCCGCCAGCGGTCCTTCGGCACCCTGCAATCTAGCGAGACGCGCTGCGCACCGACGGAGCGGACATGGGGAGAGCGATCGTAGCCAGGCTCGGACTGGGGCTGCTGCTGCTGGCGCTGCTGTTACCTACGCAGGTGAGGTCCTGGCGCCCGGCGAGGGGGCTCAGGGGCCGCGCCCGGGCGGGTGGGACCGCCCCCAGGGAACCGGTCTGCGCCCCCACCTTCGGTTGTGGACCCGAACTAGGAGAGAGAATCTAGTACAGTCTGATCTGGGGGGAGAAGGGGCGGCAGTTTGGAGCCCACTTTCCTCTTCCTGGCAGGCTGCCCCCACCCTTTAGGCAGCCCCGAGAACAAAGCACCTCCACGCGTGGGCCAGGAGGACCTTGCCCCGCCCCAGATTTCGCACGGCGCTTCGCAGGCTGCCTGACGCCCACCGCCCGCTTTCACGCAGAGCGGGAAAGAATGCGCCCTCCCCACCTCTGGAGCGCCCAGAGACCTCAGGCCCTTTGCGGAGGTCGTCCCTGGCCCCGCTTCCCTGTACGAGTGTCTTCGCGTCCCCTAGCGCATCACACAAAGAGGACGATCCCCTTCGGGGGGCGCAGCTCTCGCCCATCCTCCACTCAGAGCTATTTCGTGGATCTCGAGCAAGCCCCAGTTTCTGACCCTGTTAGCCCACCTCAGTCCCGCGTGTTTCGGGGCTGAAGTCTAGGGGGGACCGTCTCCTGACCCTGTGCTGTCCTGGGGACGACCTTACAGGTCACCCACGGAACCCTCTGTTAGCCAGATGGACTATCTCTGGACAGGCGGCGGATGGGACATCTGTGTCCCGAGTGCCTGCCAGGCTTTGTCCGTGTCCCCGCGGCCTTTTCAGATCCTCTGTCCCGGGAACACATCTTGCCCACGGTGTCCGGCGGGTGGGTGCGCGGCGGCCGCGAGGGAGGCCAGCGGCGGCTGAGCCTGGGAGACCGAAGTTGGGGGGCGCTGAGAGGGCGAGAAGGGGCAATAGTCTCCGGTAGGTTGGACTTGGAGGGTAGGTAGGGGTGCCCGAGCGATTGGATCTCCATCGCCTTCCATTGGGGCTTTCTGAGGAGGGTCTCCTGAGCACTTCTTCCGAAAAAGTTGGGTGCGCCAGGTCCCCAGACATCCAGCCGCCGGGCTCACCTGGGAGCGCAGGCTGAGAGGAGCGCTCCTCGTCTTCCGCCCCGCGGACCGGGTAACTGTACCCTATTGTTTTGCGGGCCGGCTGCTCTCCCGAGCCTTTCTCTATTCCTCGGTGGGGGAGGGGCGTGGCCGCTGGAAACGCTGGTTTCTCCCACCCCGCCCCATCTCCTTTCCCAGCCAGATTCCCTCCCACACCCCTAAATTTCAGAGGATTTGAGGTTAAGCAGACACATCTTTGGTAGCTTAGTAGGGAAATTTACGTTTACTGTCAATTTCGTATATTAACATTAGTTTTTTTCGTTGGTGTAGAGGACCCTTTGATTCTCCTATGGAGGCACTGGGCTCTGCTTCTTTTTTTTTTTTTTTTAAACTCACCTGATGCACCAAGGCTTTGTTGAATAGACTAGATTACCTTCAGGGATCCCAAATCAGGTCTTGCCCCCAAATAACGAGCCCTGTTTTAAATTGGTCCCCATATTATTTACGCTTTCCTTTTATTCTTGGTAGCACACTCTGTTGGGTAGGTGCCAAATAAATATATTCTATTTCATTGAGATTTTAAAAATTAGTCTATTTTAGATAGGATTTATAAAATTTTTAGTCGATGTTGGCTAAATGTCCTTATGGGTTTTACAACAAAAGAAGCTGGGATTTCTATAGATTTACAACAAAGGATAAAATGGTTTTATCTTTGAATTGATAGGTAGCCAAACATATATGTGGCCCAGACCTGCTTGGTGCCAGGTTCTTGTCCTGGCTGGAATCAGAAGCCCTTTAAAACCGTCTCTTGCAGTGAGAGCTGAAATCTCCCATCTGCCTTTGTTCCCTGACAAAGGAGAGATTACCACGTGCCCTGCTGGACTGTGCATTTTATGACTTGAAAAATAGTGTGGTGAATGATGCCACTCAGGCACTGGGGTGCTGGGGGACCTTGGTCCTTGGCCACAGTGCTGGGCTTAGTGACCAGGCAGGAAGGCTGCTGCTCATGAAACCAACATCGAACCTTCTCGTCTGTTGTGAAGTCATTCCGACTTCATGATGCTTTGCGTGAAATCATTTTGCCTTAAGGCAGAGGCTCATTATATTTTTCAACTTAAAACAAATATTGTAGCCATTTTTGAGAAGGGCTGTATATAATTTCCAGACTTCAAAGGAGCAGATAAGATACCCAGGGCCCCTTAAGTTTAATGCAAGGTTGTATTAAACAGGTAGGTGAAAGTTACCCAGCAAATTCAGGAAGACAGAGACTCAATTCTCATATAACATATGTCTCAAATGACTGTATTTTAAAGTCCAAGTTTTTAGTGCAACTTTAAAATCTCCCCCTTCTTGAGAAAGTAGAATAAGCCTATTTGTAACACCAGTAAGTCAGTATAATCACAGAAAGTGGGTTAGTTAATTTGGTTCCTTATTACTTTATAAAGAATTAAGGGTCAAGTCATACACTTGGGAGTTACATACTTATTGAAGAACATTTTTGTTTGCTTGTTTTTGGTTATTGTTATTTGCAGTCATTAATCATCACTAGGTAGTTGTTTTTGAAACTAAATGATCTTGGTGGGACTAAGAAATTCAGAATGAAATGATGTGGGTAAGGGAATAATGGAAAAAAACAACCTGAGACTGTATCATCTACCTAAATGGTGTATTAAATGTATGTGGAGAGACAACTGTAACGTGGGAATTGATCAGTGTAACTTTTTATATATTTTAGACTTACTCAAATCAAACAACTGTTGCAACACCTTCAAATAACTCCTCCCAGACTACCTCACCTGCCCCCCATCCAGCCAATGCCACCACCAAGGCAAGCGATGGTACTCTGCAGTCAACAGCCAGTCTCTTTGTGATCTCCGTCTCCCTTCTACATCTCTACTGTTAAGAGACTCAGGCGAAGAAACATCTGTACTTCACCATCTTCTAAATCCAGTTCAGATGGCATCTATACATCCTGTGTGACAAAGAAAAACAAGAAAAAGAAGTCTTCATTGAATAAATCTGCTAATTTCACACCTTATTTAATTGACAGAAATTATTAAGGATCCCAAATTTGTTTGAAGAGCATGTGAAGGGTTTGGCTAGATGATGAATGGCAATATTAAATCTGCTGGAGTTATCTGCACAAGATGAAGAGAGAAAACGTCCAAAATTAGTTGAGATGATTTCCTTAAATGTGGCTTAAGAAGTATGGACACATAAAGCTCTACCTTGAAAATGAGAATAGATTTTATCTTACTTAGAGATAAAGAATGGGCTGTGGAACAGAGATTCAGTTTGCATTTGGTTCATTAAATTTATAAGGCCATAAAACAATTAGGTAAAACAGAAAGCTTCTGTGATTCTATTTGTATGTACATTAGTAGGAACTTCCAGGAGTTACTGTAAATTCTCAAAGTGTTGTTTCAGCAGTACTAATTTAATGCTGACATACTGATAGATAAAATTTTATGTTAAGCTATCAACTGTTCTCTTGGGAACTGAACTTTTCCTCTGGGGCTTTGGGCTGATATTGCATTTGACTTTTTATATAGTGCCAGGGCAATGATGGATTAATCTACCCCAAATTCAAGCATAATGAATACATTTGCTTACATACTATTCCTATTCAAAAAGAACACTAGATTCATTCAACAGATAACAAAGAATAGAAGTACATTGCTGTCAATGAATTTCAAAATATTTTTTATTTCTACATACATTGAATAACTTTTACAGTTTAAAAAATGATCTGTTTTGAAGGTAAATTGACAAATTTTGAAATGAAAAAGGCTAATATGTGAAGGAGCCAAACTGTAAATCAAATATTTGTGAAGTCAATACTGGAAGCTTGCTTACATTGAATTTAGAAAAACTTTTATACTCTTTTCTGTAAATACTTCTTTTTAAACTGAATCAGAGTAGCCACATTTGGAACACTTTCTGTTATCATTTGATATTTTTAGATAGTTAGAACCTGGTCCTGAGCCTAAAATGGGCTTGATTTTGGAAAGTAAATCTTTTCACAACTGCCTTGATGCACAGCAACTTTTTAAAAAATAGACACTCCCTAAAGTCTTTTGTTCACATGGTCACACACTGATGCTTAGATATTCCAAAATCTAATACAGCCACAGTAGTTTTGAAAACCAAAGTCATTTTTTTCCCCATCATTAGAAACCAACACTGGAATAACCGTATCCAACAGATCTCAAGCTACTGTGTGTGTGAATGAACATTCCCTTTTGTTTCACACCTGAATGCTGTATATCTGTTTTGGATTGTATATTGTGTTTGTGTATTTATGCTTTGATTCATAGTAACTTTTCATGTTATGAAATTGATTTGCATTAAACACAAACTGTAAATAAAAAGAGATGGCTGAAAGAGCAATCCATTGAATTATAAGTTTTTCCCAATGCCTGGAATACTTTGTGAGTCTATCATGGTTGTATGAGTATTTAAACCACTAGGGACATACCTCAATATTTTCCTATTAAACAGAACATTACAGTTAAGCTGTTTTGCATTGGCAACTAGCAACATGTCTTGATTAAAGAATTCATCTGAAAGCTGACATCTTTCAGGCTTTAAGTGGGCATCCCTTACTCAGCAACTATTGAATGCCAGCTATGTTGTCAGGATACTGAAGTTTTGATTGAATGCTGAACTTGCTTGACAAGGCTTTTTACTGTAATTGAGAAAAAGAGTATGCATAATGACAAACAGACAGTATACTGGCAAGTAGTGCTGTGAGGAAAACAGGCCAGGGTGGCCAGTCATGAGCTGTGACTGAGTGATTATGGGTGGTTTTCGACATTTAAGCTGAGATATGGAGGATCTGGAGGAAAATTCCTGATGGGGGGAACAACACATGCTAAGTCCTTCAGTCTGCTTAATCACTGGCACGATTTTCATATCTGTCCAGGGGGCCACTTTCCATCTGCTCCTTTAGTACTCCTGAATTCTTTTGACTCTTATTAAAGTTAGTCCTGGACTTTTGCTGCTTAGTTTCTCAGTCATGTCCAACTCTTTGCAGCCCTATGGACCGTAGCCCGCCAGACTGTTGCCTGTCCATGGAATCTTCCAGGCAAGAATACTGGGGTGGGTTGCCATTTCTTACTTCAAGAGCTCTTCTCGAACCAGGGATTGAATCTATGTCTCTTGTGTCTTCTGCATTGGCAGATGGATTCTTGACTACTAGCACCACCTGGGAAGCCCTGGACTTCTAGCTGTAGCCAGAAAAAGGCTAGAATTTGGTAGTAAGTTCCTTGACCAGAAGAAATGTTGCATGGGTCTCCATGATGGTTGATAGGATTTTCTTTGAGTCCAAGGATAGTAGTTTTGGTAGAAGCATTGTATGCGGGGAAGGCAAATCCATATTCAGAATAAGTGTTTATTTCTTTAAGAGTAAAATGCTACCCTTCAATGATGATGTGTCCCATGTAGTCAATATTCCACCTGGCTGATCACCTCAAGCAGTGGAGCATATAAGGAACTTGGTGTTGGTCTGTGATGTAGCAGATTGAGCACAAAGCAGTGGCTGTGACCAGATCAGCCTTCACAAATGTCAGTGTTGCTGGGACCATGCATAATCTCTGTCCTGCCATTGTGGCCACTTTGTTCATGAGCCGAGTGATAACCAAAATAGTCAGGGATCTGTATCCACACAACTGGCCATCTTGTCCACCTGATTATTAAAATCCCTCATAGGGCTGTGGTTACTGTTTAGTGAGCATTCACATGGGACACTAATATCTTCAGATTCCCATTTGGAGAGGTCTATCCACATATCTTTCTCAGCCTGCCTTGTCACCAATTTTCCAATCATACTGTTTCCAAGTCCATCCAGCCAAACTGTTGGCCACAGACCGTGAGTTAGTATAGATTTACATCTCTGACCATTTCTACTTGGAAGCAAAATGACCAACTAGGGGCACTGCTTTTAATTCTGCTCACTAGAGATGTTTCCGTGTCCTTCATGGGTATCCTGGAAAGGGGTTGTGCAGCTGGAGCTGTCCACTTTGAGGTGTTGCCTGCTTAATGTACAGCACCTTCCGTAAACAAGGTCCAAGTTTTCTCTTCCTCAGTCAGCTGGTCATCATTAACTCCTCGTGAAGACATAGGTACAGACTAGGAGAGAGATGGTAATGTAGCAAAAATATGGCCCAGGGGCATTTGAACCACTTCCTCCTGTAACTTACTAGTATATTAAGTCCCCTACATATGAACTTGCAAATTGTGAACTTTCAAAGATGCAAACATGAAGCTTACTAATGAAGAACTGATGGAATTGGAGGCCCAGAGAAAGGACAAAGGAAAATGAGAGAAAGAAGTAACTGGAGAACTGAAGACATTCACGATGCAGGAAATGGCAGGGGATTGTCTTTATTTGAGGAGCCACTGTTGGCTCTGAGGCACAGGACCCGAACTTGGAATGGTACACGAAGGTCTCAGCAGCCATTCAGAGTGCTATCCACTGCTACCATGTCATCTATGATGAGGAAAAAGGAACTACTCCCCGGATATCACTGGATTGTTTTATTCAAGAGGGTAAATAGAAGGAAACAGAACGTGTGCCATCAACATCAGGCATGAATGAAATTAAAGCTTGCCTTCCACCTCCTATTGCTAACAATCCTTCGGCTGTACCATCTCCCACTTCCTCTCCCTCTTTCAGCCAGTAACTTCTCTTGCTTATTGACTCAATGCCAGCCCTTGTATGGCAGCTGCTGTAGTGTACTACTGTACTTTTCAAGGCACTGTACTGTAAGATTAAAGATGTTTTCTTTATTTTTTATTTATGTATTGTGTGAAAAGTATAAACCTATGACAGTATAGTACTGCATAGCCAATTGTGTTCGTTGAGTACCTAGGCTAATTTTGTTGGACTTAACAAACGTGCTGTCAGAACAGAACTCGTTCCTGTGTAGGTCACTTACTGTATGTATCTTTAGGGCCTCCTGAAGCTCAGTATCATCCATGCCACCTTCGTTTGACATTGGGGTGCTATTGTGCACAGCCAATTTTATGGGTTGATGATTAGACCACACCCAGGTCATCATGGGTAGCTCAGGCTGCATGGTGGTCTGTGGTTATGCATTCAGTCTTTTTTTAAAAAAAATTTATATGTATTTGTTTATCTGGCTGCCCTGGGTCTTAGTTGTGGCACACAGCATCTTTCGTCTTCGTTGTGGCATACGGGATCTTTTAGCTGTAGCATTTGAACTCTTAGTTACAGCATGTGAGATCTAGTTCCCTGACCAGGGATCACACTCAGGCCCCCTGCCTTGAGAGTTAGAGTCTTAGCCACTGGGCCACCAGAGACGCTCCTCAATCCCCTCAAGCGTTCAGTCTTTACTAAAGCCCAGCAACAAGCCCAATCCTGTTTCTTCAGGAGGGGTTGCTGCCTGCAGGGGATGGCAGAGCTTTGCTCTGAAATCTTGAAACAGACTATTGATACCAACCCTGGGTCTAATATAAATTTATAGAAAAGCAATGAAAAAGTTGAGTTTAGTTTTTTAAGAAGTAGTCATCGATCCAACCAGTCCATCCTAAAGCAGATCAGTCCTGGGTGCTCATTGGAAGGACTGATTCTGAAGCTGAAACTCCAATACTTTGGCCACCTCATGCGAAGAGTTGACTCATTGGAAAAGACCCTGATGCTGGGAGGGATTGGGGGCAGGAGGAGACGGGGACAACAGAGGATGAGATGGCTGGATGGCATCACCNCAGTTGCTATGCCATAGGGTTAAGATGAAAAATAACTGTTTAAAACTAAACATATTCTAAACACACACCCAATGCCACCGTCCTTAAAATAGAGCTCAAATATTTAGGTAGTTGAAAAGTATGTGTTTTTCGTTTCTCATAGACCTTATTTGGGGTTCGCTTGATTATTTTGGGTTCTTTCCTTAGTATAAAGAGAGTATTTTTTCTAATTGTGGTAGGATGGCACCTTTTGAAACAACACAATCATCATCATGATTTACTTGTCAGTTTCTCTTCAAATTACATCTAAATTTAAAATCATATGCATTTCTAAGAAACTTTAGGAAGTTTCCATATTTATGATTTTGCAAAGAAATCTCTTTGTGAGCCCAAAGGTTTAACTGTTATGCCTGTTAGCAATTGGCACATGTTAAGGTTTGCGGAAACCTAACATGTCCAAAACTGAACTCATTACCTCCACTCCACAGACCCGCTGCTTCTCTATTCAGAACACCTACCTGCCAAGTCACTCTCATCACAAACCCAGAAGCTTCCTTCCTCTTCTCTCCCAATCTCCAGTCAGCCACAAAACCCTGTCACTTCTGAATCAGAAATGTCTGAGCATCCTGCCTCTCTCCCCACTCTGCTGCCTTCCTCTGACTTGCATCCTCTGTCAAAGCCGTGCCCCTCTGCCCTTAGCCCTTCCACCCTGTGGCGATTCTCTGAAATGTACATCTGATCATTTTGCTCCTAACTTTAAAAGTTTGGCTGGCTACGCTTTGCTGATAGAAGATAGAATAGAAACCCCCCATTCACAGACCATAAGACTTTTCCATAGTCTGGTCCCAACCCAACTTTTCAGCCCCATTTTCAGCCACACTGTGTTGCCCACTGTTCTCTGAATCAACAATGTCTTTTTATGCTCCCACAACTTTGAATGCCTACACGCATCCTACTGAATATAGCAGTTAAAGGCGTGGATGCTAGAGCCAGGCTGCCTCAGTTTGACTTCTAGCCCCGCTGTGACTAGTGAAAGGAGCCCAGGCATGGACATAAATTCTCTGTGGCCCAGGAGTCTTGTGTGTAAATGAACTTGATAATAATGGTACCTATCAATAAAGTTTTAGAAGAGTGTGGTACATTGTTAGTACTCAATAAACACTGGCCAGCATTGTTTGTTATGAATGTGTTGATATTGACTTGTCTATGCCCCTTGAAGGCAGGAACTTTGCCACATTTCACTTCTGGATTCCTGATGTGTGACTAAGAGTATGTGCTCAGTTAATAACTGAGTTAGTAAAACAGCCAGCAGTGGTATCTTAGTAGCAGTGTAATTGGGGGAGGGGAAGGAAATCCTCTGATACTATATTAGGTCTTGGGGGGAAGCACAAGAAGGTAGTTAGGGCTATTTCTAAACAGGCTGGTCCCTAGTGGCTGCTCAGCTTTCATCAGATAGGCAACCTGCTTATCTGAAACAATGGTTCTCAACTCTGACTGCATATTAGAATCACTTGGGAAGCTTTTTAAAAAGGTGATGCCTCTCACCTTTGCCTACTTAGAGGGCTCTGATTTAATTGGTCTGGGTGGAGGTTAGTCATCAGTAGTTTTAAAAATCTCCCCAGGTGATTCTAAAGTGCAGCCAAATTGTGAAGCACGGGCCTGAGAGCAGCTTGGGGCAGCTC